CCAGTTTGGCTGCAGAGGAGCCATGACCAGGGACGGCGCACACCTCAAGCCCACGCCACCACGCCGGTTACCTGCTGCTGTTTGCAGAGGGTGGGAGGGGGGAAAATCCACCTCTGGGCTGGAGTGCCACACACAGCCGAGGAAACCCTCCCATCTCCCAGCAAAGCTCTTCACAGCACAGCACCACTTAATCAGCTTTTATCTGCCTAAAGGCTTTATCCCCATTGGTCTGCAGCAGATGCAACCAGATAATTTAATTTCACTGTGTTAAAAACAGCCCAGCTGTCCTTGCAACGCTCACCGTTCACCTACCCAAAAGGTACATGGGTTTTGTTTTTTTTTCTTGCCTCCTTCTCTAGCACCTCTCAGGTATTAGATGTGGTGTCTGACTTGTGGCTGGCCATGCTCTTTCTTGTTATATCGGTATTTACTTGTGCAGCAAGCGCTGGGCTGAGTCTGAATCTCTCTGATTCATGCCCAAGCATGTGCAAATGTGCACCTGCAGCGATCATCCACTGCAACAGAGCCGGACTGAGCGCCCTCCCTGCAGAAATAGCTGCGACCACTGTCTCTCTAAACCTCTCCAATAACTATTTGTGGATCCTGACCCCCAACGCGTTCAGAAACCTGACTTCCCTCCACAGCCTCTGGTTAGACGGCAACAACCTGACTTTCCTGGCGCCGGGGACCTTCCTCGCTCTCGGGCAGCTGCGCGAGCTGCATCTCAGCCGGAACTCGCGCCTGGCCTCCCTAACACCTTCAGGGGGCTGCCAAACCTCACCAGCCTGGATTTATCCCACTGCAATATCTTTGAAATCCACCCGCTGCTATTTGCGCACCTGCCCTCTCTAGAAAGGCTCGACTTAGCCGCCAATAACATGCGCTATGTCCCGCAAGCCTTCGGGAACCTCTCCAGGCTCGCCAGGCTGTCTCTGGAGGGAAACCACATAGAAGCCATCGGCAGGGATTCCCTGAGGGACCTGGGAACCTTGTACGATCTGAACCTCAGGAAGAATCGGATATGGATCATTCAAAGCGGCGCTTTCGCAAAGCTCCTCAGGTTGGGCGTGTTGAATTTAGGCCATAACCACATTGCTGATTTGCCTAATCGGCTTTTCGACGGGTTGATCCAGCTCAAGACCCTGCACCTCGAAGCCAACAGGATCACCGCGATCGGCTGCGCCTTTCGACAGCTGCTTAACTTGAGAAACCTGTACCTGAACAACAACCAGATCTCCTCCATTCCCGACTCCGCTTTCTCCCGTTTAACCAAGCTGCGCTTCCTCCACCTGAACAAGAACAACCTCAGCTCCCTTCCCGTCCGCCTGTTGGCCGAGCTGCCGAGGCTGAAATACGTGTTTTTGTCCCACAACCCCTGGCAGTGCGACTGCAAGATGTTCTGGTTTTTGAGGTGGACGGGGAGGTACGGCGGCGCGATGGAGGGGCTCCACTGCGCCTTCCCGGCGTCCGGCCACCTCCAACCCGGGGGCTTCAACG